AAGAGTGTGGGACTTGTCTAAGGCCACAAAGGATATCTGTGACAGAATAGGCTTAAAAATCTCATCTCCAAAGTCCAAGGCCACTGCCCTGCCCACTTTCTTTCCTTTCTTATGGAATTATGTATTTTATGAAGCACTCATAATAAGTCTTTGAGTCACCAAAAGTTTTATTTTCTTTTCAGGGGAAAAAAACATTATCCGTGAACGTTTTGCTGAGCTAGGAGAACAAAATTTTAGAGCCATGTAAGTCTTATCTAGAAAAATCTACTTAAAAAGTTGCTGGCAATAATCCTTATTCTGGGTTTCTATCTGATTAAAAAATAAAAATACAAGTATTAGACAGATGCTGGAAAAATATAGACAGTATGAAAGCTGATATTTACAAAAATGAAATAAATCAGAGGTGAATGTCAGAAGGTTGCCAGCAAGTTACTGTTCCTCTTGGTGCTACTGCTGGTGGTATATTTCACACAGCACCCGTTGCTTGGGGGTGGGTCTTAAAAGCTTAGTTTATTCTGCAGAGAATAGTCTCCCACTGGCAATTCTCTTAGAAATGGAGGAGTCCTGTGGGTGTGCTTCAAGGACCAGAGTGAGTGACTCCAGGGCATGTACTCAGGACCCCACTGTGCTGCCTTTTTACTAGGCTTGACTACATATGGAGTGGGAATGAATAGGCAGGGCTTATTTCTTAACTGTTGTTCTTGACTCAACAAGGATTCAGTTGAGACATGGCCAGAGTTAGTTATTCATTGTCTTCACTATTTCATAAACTCCTATCTAGAATCTACTTTCAACTGCATTACAAAAAAGAGACCCAGAGTTTTGATAGAAAAGCATATTTCCATCTGGTAGAAAACAGAAAAGTATGGAGGCAAGCCAAGACCAAAACAGATAAAAGGAAGTTGAGTTTACTGTAGCAATTCAGCACAAATAAAGTGCTATTGTGGAGGTACATTACATTGTTTTCTAAGGTGGATTGCTCTGCCAATAGTGCAGAAATCCTGCCAATGTTTCTTCCTGGCCATCACTGCAATCCATGGATTTATTTTCCAAAGTTACTGTAGCAAGACTGAAAAAGACCCACCTGCTGAAGACTGTTTTGTTGAGGAGATAATTTTCACCTAAAAGGGAGCAACTTTGCAATGCTAAGGGTACATTTAACACCTGTTAAACTGCTTGAACATGTGGCTACTTGTGTTTTAACTGTACTTAGTAACTGTTAGGTTGAATGTGAAAGAGAAAGCAAGCAAGCAAGCAGTATTAACCGGCATTTTAGTAACCCGCATTTCTAATGACTGGAATTTCTGGCTGGTCAGCCAGATGTACGGGATGAGGGGGGGAAGCTCATACATGGCAGCTGCTGCCACCACCCACCACCCTGTGCTGCTGCCGCTCGGCATCCAGCTGCCCCGCCCCCCTGCTCCGCATCCAGCCAAAACCCCTGCCTCAGGTAACCGGGATTTTGATATATCCACCATGCTGTGTTTCCCACTCATGCTGGTTAACACAGGTTTTACTGTACTATAAAGATGATGTGAGGATAAAGTACACTATCATCTTTATGTGATATCAGGAGTATTGTTGGAAGCTGGTGTATTCCTAACATGAACTACAAGAGTTAATTTGCCTATGCACTGGAGACAGAGGGGATCAGAAATATATATTGTAATACTTTAGCTCTGCCATCAGTTGGTCCAGCAAGACAAATTCATTGAGGTTGGCTTAATGGTACAGGATGAGCAGAACTGCCTCTGAATAGTAAATCAAGTTTTCCTCAAGGGTGTTTGCAGGCCTTTCAAAAGCCAGGTCTACACTAAATAGCTTTTCCTGTGGTGGTTTCTGCCTTCTGGCAGAAGACTCATAATGTAGACAAGGTCAGAAGACTCCTAATGTAGATAGTAGTAAAGCATTTTACTGTCTAATGGAGGATGAAATCCCCTCACAGCTGCTTCTACTGTTTCGATAGATCTTCACCATACTTTGTCATTATCCCATAACAAAATACCACTGCAAGTCTGTTTCCACAGTTGTTTTATCATCTTGGTTGAGTATGTAAGGAGATACGATCCGCTGTTTCATCTCTCAGGTTCCCTGTTAGACCTGTCTCTATACCCCTCCAATTTAACCAGTGCCACCAACATTTTCATCTCTTAAAGTTGTTGTTTGTTTTTTGTTTTGTTTTTTTTGCAGGGGATGGGGTTCATATTTTGTTTTTTTGGTAGCTAGATACATACTGAACCATATGCATCCTGTTGCAGATCCATGGTCATGTTTGCTCAGTATGTGCAGAAAGTCTCTTTTGAAAAAGCAGCTAAAATGGTAGATGATGTCACAGATCTTGCAAAAAGGTGTGTTGCTGATGCCAAAGACCCAAAATGTGCCGAGCCACTGGTAAGCAAAATTAGATTCTTATAGAAGCCAACAGGTTCAAAAGTGCTCTTTTGTGGGAGAGGTGATTAGTGGATGGAGAGGAGTCTTGCTTTTTAGATGTCCAGCTACAGATGCTTGATATCTAGACAGTGAGTGATGCATCTAAATAACACCTACTACCGTTTTAAACGTATCTCAGATAGTCACTGAAAAACTGGGGGACATCCAATTATCAATCAGTTCTGAAAAATCTCAGCCTGTGTTTTAAAAAAAACAAAAAAACCCTTCTTGCAGGAAAGAATGGTACCCAAAAGCAATGTAACTAAATTCAGTAGCTGCCTTTGTATTGAATCAGTACTAGCAAGAAGAAAGACTGCATTTGTTTTTTATGGAGAGATTCAATCTCCAACCCAATCTAGATATAAACTGTGTAACCTCTTCCCATTAGTTACAATTCACCAGATAAAATCCCTGGATCTGAATGTCTCTGAAGCATGGAGTGAGATGAGCTGTGAAACTGAATGTGAATCTGCATATGCAGATGTGAATCTGAATACTGCTGCTGGAACCTATTTAAAAAACTAGGTAGAAGGGAGGGCAGGGAGGCACCATAGAGATTAATTGGTTTAGAGAAACAAAAGCTTTTGTAGGCAACAACCTACTTCGGCAGATGCTTGGAAGGGACTGGCAGAAAAAATATTTGGAGAAGAGGAAATGTATGAGGGAAGGGATGCTGTTAAAAGAGGTAATCGGGAATTTATGACATCAGAGACACGGTCAGATCTAGAAGTGGGTGCAGTGGTACACCCACACACCCCTTTCTGACCATGTGGCAGGAGCAGCAGTCAGGGCCTTTTTTTTAACTCCCAAAGAAAATACAAATGACACCATTCCCCCCATGCTCAGAGACACATCCCCTCCTCTCCCTGTCCCTTCTCATTCCTCCTTACCCTGCCTGCCACTGCTGGTCTCCCTGCTGTCCTGAGAGTGAAGAGAGTTCCTGTTCCACTCCAGCTGGGTTCAGCCCTAGACAGCGGCAGCAGCAGCAGCGGCAGCAGCAGCAACAAGTTTCCCCTCCCTACCCCAAGGTGTTCTTTGCCAGACCAAGAGTATGCACGGGAGAGGGGACCATGCCTGACCACTGCCACTGCCACTGCCCCAGGCTGAGCCCAGCCCCAATGCAGCCTGGCTGGAGCAGCTCTGGAGCTCCCTTTACTGCCTGGGGCAGCAGGGGCAGCAGCAGTGGCAAGCAGAAGAGGGTAATGGGAGGAGAGGGGCAAGCCTCTAAGCACAGAGGGGAAGGGAAAGGGGAATCTTACCCTCTTTGGCTGTGTTCATACATGCAGGCATGTGGGCTAGGGACAGACATTACATATAAGCCAGTTTAAATTATCAGAAACTGGTTTAAACCTGTAACAGAACAGATGTTCAGTGCACATAAACCAGTTTGAAAATGGTTGAAACCAGTTTGAGATAAACCTGGTTGAAGGTAGTATCAGACTTAACTGATTTGGCTCAAACCAGTTTATGCAATGTCTGTCCCAGACCCCTTGCAGGTCCAGACTTCCCCAGCATCCTGACATGCTCTTGGGCTAGGTGAGGCTCTCTGTTCCACAGCAGGGCTGGACCCTCCCCTCTGCTCCCTAGCTGGAGCTCCGCAGAGGCTGCAGGCACAGCAAAGTCTGCCTGGCTTCCCCCTGCCCTACTCTCCCATCACTGCTCATTGCTCAAGCAGGAAATCCCACCCCCTTCCCTCCCATCTCCCACAGCAGGGACCCCAGCCCCATGGACCCTATTGGTCTAGTTAGTGGTATGCTAGCTAATGCAGACATGTGTGTCTCCAGTTTCACCGGGACAGGCAGACAGAACAGTGTTAGTTTAGGGCTATTTGCAGCTAATCAACAGGTCAGCTGGTAAGCTGTTTAAGAAGATTTTGAAGTAATGGAGAGAGGCTATTGCTTTGCTGATTGGGTGATAAACACTGTTATCAGCCCCCTGCTGGCTTGTTCACCTGTTAGTTTCCTGCAGACAGTATAAAGAAGCAGGGAGAGAGATTTAAATGCTCCATATCATCAGCAGATGCATGCACTGCACGTCCCCCTTGCACCAGAGTCCTAGCCGAGGGCTGGGGCCTGGCAACACTCCCGTCCCTTTAGCAGCGAGCGAGGAAAAGGCTAGCATGGTGCAGGCAGACCTCCCTAATCAGAGCATCCTGCCAGGGCCTGGCCATGCCCTGCCTCAGCTCAGCACTGAGCAAGGGAAGGGAGGGCTGCTCTAGTACCCTCTGGCTTCTAGCCAGAGCCACGGAAGGCATGTGCCTAATTTCCTCAGTCCAGAGAGAATGTCTCTCCAGTTACAAACAGGTTCAGCCAGCCAGGTTAGAGTAACCTGCAAGATTTAACCAATTCAGGTTCAGGCTTTTTGAATGTCTGTCCCTAGCTGTGAAGTTTGCAGCACCACAAACCCCACACCTTGCATGTTAAACTGTGCGCCATGTGGCTAATTTGCAGTGATAAAGAGTGGCAAAGTACACAAAAGTACTTTGTGGACAGATGCAGAGATGGACTCTGTATCCATGTGCTGCAGAGCCCCCACAGTGAGGCACATTGTGTGCCAGCCAGCCGCTCCATGGTTGGCTGGGTTGCGGTGTGCCTTGAGAGAGGGGAGCAGGTAGCCCAGGGCTGGCTGTTCCCCCATTTCCATATGCTATTCCCCAACTGGCTGGGGCACAGTGTACTTCAGTGTGGGAGCTGCCAGGTGACTTGCCCTGTGCTCAGGCACCCTGTGCCCCAGCTAGCCCTCCCCACAGCACATAGAGCCCAGCCAGGAGCTGGGAGGATCTGGACATGAGCAGTTTGCCTGAAGTGGAACAATTTGTCCCTCAACAAAGCCCACGTGCAGGGGTGTGTGCTGTGGCACTATATAGTGGCACAAATTTGTGCCACAACTATTTGTGCTGCTGCAAGCACATGCCCCTGCTTGTCTGGATGAGACCTTTGTGGCTTATAAAAGCTGCTGTTCTTGCAGTGTGGTCTGCCTGCCCTGGTGATTGGGGTGATTAGTGGGGAAGGCTGGAAGTGAGGGTGCAGCCAACCCTGCAGCACCAGTTCTTGCTTCTATATCCTGGATCTACCTATGATCAGAGGTGTCAAACAAGTGATCTGTGGATAAATGCTCCAGTTGGGGTACTGACCAGCTGGGAGGAGGGGCGCAGGCTGCCACATAATTCAGGGCTCCTGGGCCCTGACAGGCATGGCCTTTAGCAGTAGAAGGGTGAGTGAGGGAATGACAGGCTGCTCACTTTTCAGGTGCTTGGCATGTTGCCACTGTTACCACTGGCACTGTGGCATTCTGCCCTACCTCCTCTGGCACTGACCTGTGCTGGAGCTGTCACCCCAAACCCATGTCCCATTCCCCATTCCCCATGTCCCATGCTCTATGCTGCAGTTGTCATTGCTACTGCCACTTAGTGTGCCAGGCTGGAGCTGCTGCTGCCAAGCCCTGCCACAGGCTGGAGCCATTGTCACCATCATCCTTATCACCACAGCCACCCCTTGCCCTAAGCTAAATCCAGCCCACAAGGAATCCCTCAGTCTGGATCTGGCTTGTGGCATGGGGTGAGTTTGATCAGCTAAGATAAATGGGGCAGTTAACACCCAGAGGGACAACTGAATAAGCAGCTAGTCTGGGTAATGGGATAAGAATCCAGAGTCCCTGTTGAGACCAAGGTTAATACAGTCCAGTCTGTGGATGATTTTTGGTTCTTCATTTTCACATTGTTACAGGTTTGCCCCTATTTTATAGGGCTGGAAGGGGCAAGTCACCTGGTTTTGAGTGAGCACCAGGTGATACTTATGGGAACTTGCTTAGCAGCAGCTTCACGTTTGTGTGTGAAAATCATCCCACTACTTTAGATGCTTGAGGATGGACTTAGGAGTTAAACATCAAGCAATGATTTTGATAAATCCTGGTCCATGAGCTTAGTGCCCAGTTCAGTTTCCTGCAACCAGTCAATTTATTGCATTAGTGCTCTTTCCACAGAAAGTTTGCAGGAGGGAAACAATTGCAATGCACTGCCTACGATTAATTGTTTTTCTTTTTTCTGCAGACTACCCTTTTCCTGGCTGAAATCTGCCAGGAGGAAGGCCTTACTGGAATTACTGAGTGTTGTGCTAAAGATGACTCTGAAAGAAATGAATGTTTTCTGTCCCATAAAAATGTTACCAAAGGATTCATTCATCCCTTTAAAAATCCAGAACCTGAAAAAGCATGCAGTGATTATGCTGATAACCAAAATTCACTAGTAGGCTAGTAAGTACTTTTATTTATATCAGATGCTAATATACAGTGCTTCTCAGCTTGGGGACAACATACTCCAAATCAGTACAAAAATGACAGTAGAAAATTCTGTAATAGCTTGACCCACATTACAAATTTGAATATTTCTGAATGTTTTAACCAGTTGCAGTTACTATCATTACATCCCATCTCTCTTCCATCATCACTAGTTGTAGTCACTTCTCCTGGGATGTAGGCCTGCTATGCACTGAGCAGTCTGGACTGTGCCAGAATAGCATTTCCACATGTGCTTAAATTTAAGCATGAACATAGCACTATGCTCAAAAGTAAGCACATGCTTTTGGTACTTTGGTAGGTAGGTGCCAGTGTTCAATTTCTTGCAGAACTCAGCCCTTTCATTTCAGTAAAATCTCAGGCCTTAAAGAATTTCTTCACATTTACCTTTTAATAGGTGCGGCTATGACAGACTAACTATATCTCTTCTTGAAAACTAAACAATCCTGGGTCTCGCTAGTATTTGAAGGGAAGAAAACTCAGAAATCTCATGTACAACACATAGGTAGACAGATTAGATACCTTCTTGATTACAGGTTTTTATGTAGGCCAAGGAATTATAGTGACTAGCAAACTATACACACTGAATTGATAGCAAAACTGTTCAATCCAATGACTGCTAATGAAACACATCACTATAAACATTTCCCTGCTATAATAAAAGAAAACAACCACTATTGGTCTGTTAATAGCTGTTCTTATAACAAGTTTCACTGTATACTTGTCAGTGATAGAACCAAGTAAGTGCAAATAACATGGTATAAGCAGGCCCAAACTATGGGATATTCACTCTTAGAATTTAATGCAAACTGCTTTCTTGTTTTAGTTTCATCTATGAAATTTCCAGACGGCATCCCTTCCTCTATGCCCCGACAATCCTTTTCACTGCTTACAATTATGAGAAGATGATGAACAACTGCTGTAGCACTAAAAACAACCCTAATTTTAACCTGACAGAATGCTTTGTAAAGCAGGTATTGTCTTTTAATATGCATGGTTATTTTAGATTTGAATTAATGGCTTCCTATAGCTAGAAAAATTCTAAAGCAGCCTTGAAGACCAGTCACCTAACCCCATATTTTACCCTTGACCAAGGTTCCCTTTAAGGTGTGCATGTGTGTGGCCGCACACAAGTAAAAGGCTGGCTGCGCACAAACTTTTTTAGGCTGCACACCCACTGGGATAGGAGCTGGGCTGCGGTGTGGGACGCTTACAGAAGGTAAGCTCCTCCCCAAGATAAGGTGGAGGCAGGAGCCTGCCGCGGACTGCTCAGGCTCCAGGGAACTGCTCCACTCCCTTGCTTCATCTTGGGGAGCAAGGAGGCACGTGGCATCAAGGCTGGAGAGTGGAGCAGTCCCCTGGAGCTGTCGGAGCCTGCACCAGGCCGCAGTGCCAGCCTCCATCCCTGGCCCTTGTGGCGGGCCAGTAGGGGGTGCTCCTGCGTTGAGCCACCCACCTCACTGCACCCGACCACCTTCCAAGCTCTGAGTGCCTCCCTGGGGGTGCCTCACGTCTGACCGACCCCCTTCCTGGAGCACACCTGCTAGCCTGGGGGTAACACCACCACCACCCAGGGCTCTGGACTTAGTTCTGGCTCTGTGCACTCTGGGAAACACAGGCCTAGTAGCCCTCAAGAGGATTTGATTCACTTCAAGAAGTTGGGATGCTTCCCTCTGTCAGAAGCACAAGTAGTGATCTCTCTTAGTTAGCCAAGCCAAGGGGACTCCAAGGCATAATCTAGACCCATTCCCAATAAGTCTCCCATACTAGGTACAAAGAACTTTATTGGTTACAAGGAGTAGGGTTAGAATAGGGTACAGGGTAGAGCAATATCAGAGAAATCCCATGGAGGAAATGCCCCTGGCTGGGTAGCCTTTGATCACGCATCTGAGTTACTGCAAGCTATATATCTAGTTAGATCTCAGGTAACTTACTTACAAGTATCATCCAGAGGCTGGTGGAGATTCCCTCTGGAGGCAGGCAGCTCCTTAATCATGAGTTTTGAGAGAGAGAGCAAGTTTCAGATGATCCAGCTCTTCTCTCTCTGAGTCTCCCTCATGGCTGCTGCCCCCACCCCCTGGGCAGTCCTTAACTTATATAGTCCTTGTGACCTCATTTACCTGGTCCAATGGAAGCCAGCACCTGTTGGCTGTTAGCCAACCAATTTGAAATACATCACTAGTTGCCAGGCAGACTCTAGCCCACCAGGAAGGAAGCCCCTCACCCAGGTATGTGATACTAGTAACGTAGGCAGAGGGAGCAGGTTTGCTCCCTCCCTCAGGAATTTACTCAGCTCAGGTTACCTAAAAAGATAGGGTAAAGGTGTGTATCCTCTGTTGGGCCCATCCTAATCAAATTGTCACAGAACAGAGGTTTTTTGGGGGAAGAAACAAAGGTGGCGTTCTGCCACAGCCCTGATGCCACATGCCTCCTCGCTCCCCAAGGCAAAGTGGGGGAGTGCAGCGGTGTCAAGGAGCTGGCAGAGCCCATGCCAGGCCCCAGCCCCAAGCCCCCGGGGCCCCAGCCCCAAAGCCCCCCAGCCCCCACTGCCTGCTCCAGGTGAGGAGTGAGGCACTTACCTTCAGTAAGTGTCCCACGTTGCACCAAAACGGCACGGTCGCAAACTGCAGCGGCACACTCATGGACTGAAGTGGCATGCTCAAGGACTGCTACTTTTTAGAGGGAACATTGCCCTTGACCTCCATTTGGATCAGGACTGAAACACACATTTAACTGTTTTCTTTCAATGGGGCCTTAGATTCTTAAATCAAAATGCTTCAGTGCTGAGCACAGGCTGAGGACAAACCTATCAGGAAAAAAAAATAAGTTTATTATGAAAAGAAGGATGTCATTACCAGGGATCCAGGCTTTCCATTTCCTGTGGAAAAACATGGATATTCCCTTTTGAAGCTTGGGGCTGGGAGGAGCAATTGGAGGCAGGGGGCAATGCTTGCATGTGTGCACGCATGCACACTTGGCTGCAATACTACCAGGCAGGGTGGTGGGAGCAGCTCTGGCAGCTGGATACAGGTAAGTCAATGGGAAGGGGGGGACAAGGGGTTGGAGGGCCAGGGCTTGGGGACTGTGTGGGCACAGTACAGGCACATGCACTGGTGACATACCTGGGGGGACATGGGGGTCATGTGCACCCCCACCCCCAAATTTTTGCAATGACAGCAAGGTGCAGGGCAAGGGTCTGCAGCCTGGCTAGACTGGCACCTGGCAGGAATCACCTCAGCGGCCCACATCCACAGTCCACCTCTGTCCTCCCAGCATGGGAGGGCAGAGTAGGGCAGGGCAGCAGCATATCAGGGCAGCTCAGTACCACAAAACAGTTGTGGGGGCAGCTGTAGCTGGACCTGTATCCTGGTGAATGAAGTGGGGAGGGAGAGCTCTGATTTTCCATGTTGAACTCCAAAATATAAAGGTATTTAGAATTTATTTTATTATAATGATTGAGGCACTGGTAGGCTTCCAAATTGTTTTAAAATGGTAAATATATCAATAAAACATTGTGTTCAACGGATACCTACATATATAGTGGTGTTTCATTTTCTTTGCAGAAAAACATGGATTTTTTGATCCCTAGTAAAACCAGGATCCCTAGTTATTACACACTAGATGCTTGAGATTTTCAAAGCAATATAGGGCAGTGGTGCCTGACCTCGTTACCCGGTGAGCCAGAGTGGCAGTGTCCCGCCCATCTGTGGGCTGGATCCAGTCAGTGCTCCCAATCCTGTGCCCGGGCTGACATGGCAGGCACCAACTGGTTGTGTGCAAGCAGGCTATGCAGACCAGCCCCCACACAGCTCTGTAAGGGAAAGGAGCTTGACCTAGCCCTATGGAGAAGGAAGGGGGAGTAGCTAGGCCCCAGCCCGGCCCAGCAGAGGGGGAAGGGGGCATGGCTTGGCCCTGATACAGAAGCAGTGGAGGGGGTAGGGGGGTGCATAGCCCAGCCCTGTGGATGGGGACATAGCATGCATAGCATGGCTCTGGCTGGCTGCACAGGGAATTGGGCTTGAGGATTTGGTAGTGGGGGAGGTGGCCATGCTCCCCAACGGCCAAATTTCTGGACCCGTGGGGAACCCTGGAGGCTAGCTGCAGTGGCTCTGTGGTCTGCATTTGGCCCATGTACTGGAGGTTGAACACTCCATATCTAAGGGGGTTAGAAACATGACTTCCACTAACAGAACTGGGACATTTGTGTCTAAATCTCTCAAGATTGCTTTAAAAATCTCAATCAATATTCTATCTTTTTAACTCTTTCACCCCATGTTTTTCTAAATCAAGTAGGTATCTAATCTGTCCATCTCTGTTGGTCTGTGTATTTATGTAACTCTCCTTACTCTATATTTTTAGTAGGTGACTATTGGTGCACTAAAATGGGTGTTGCTGTTTTACTCATCAGTGAATACCTGCATTTTGACTGGATTAGGGCATGATGCTGCTAGGTGCTGAGAACCTTTGAGAATCTTGGTGTGCCAAAGATGTTAGTGGGAAGCTGTTTCTTGGCAGCAGGCACTCAGCCCTGTAAAAATTAGGTATATCAGTTAATCAAAACAGTCCATCCCTAGTTTAAAAGCACAGAGCAATTTAATAAGAGTCTTTAAAGTGGGCAGAATCTTACAAAACAATAGGAGTGATTAATATGTGCAACTGATATTACTTCTGATTTTGTTAGCTACTTCACAACTAATTAGCCTTTTAGGTGTCTGCTAAAATCTTCTCATTCGGAATTCTACTTTCTTCACTAATTTGATCTCTTTTTAATCATTTTCTTCTCCCTTGTAATAGCAACCAGTTGTGATAAAGCCAGTAAAAGAAGATGGTTCCATGCAGGAACACACATGTGAGATCCTGAAGAAATTTGGAGAAAGAACATTGAAGGCTCTGTGAGTCTCTGACCTGATTATTAAATGAGTAGAGTGGCACCTTATGGACTAACTAATTCAGAGACATATATTTTCATAAGCAACAACTTACTTCAGACTAACATGGCTAACTACCTCTCTTTGATTATTAAGTGTATGACATTTCTGTTGCTTCAAAAGCAGAACAACCATACCAACTGCAGCCCTACAAAAGAGCAGGGAATCATTAGTACTATTGCTTTGAATACTTGTGAACAGTAAGTGTATACTAATTTGCATGTCTATTGTATAATAGAGGATAGAAGTTGATTTTCAGCAAATTGTGTGCGTACCTAAGGACAAAATTGCTTGCGCAAAAACACATGCACCCCTGCACACAACTCTACCATGACTGTACATCCAATCGTAACCATGAAGAAAATTAGGCACATGAATGTATTTGAAACTGTAGGCTTAATTTTCTTAACATCTAGTCATTAACTTTCTGGGAGAAAAACCAGTTTTGACATAATGGCCAAATTCCTGATTAATTTATACCAAGTCAATACCTTTTGGTGACAGTTGCTGTGAGAGTCAATGAAATAGGACTTCACTATTGTGTCATATGTATAATTTCTGAGGTAGTTCTGTACCCTTTTTTTTGCTTGATTCAACCCTGTGTTATTTTAGTTGCATGGTCATACTTAACATTATTAATGAATTAATGTCCGTAGATTTTCAAAGGGACCTAAAAAACTGGGCAGCCAACTCACATTGGGTTGGATTCTGCTTCACCTTCTAGATGCCTATGGACTCAGGTGCCTAAATGTGATTCTTTTCTATCCGATGCCAGTCCCTGAAAACCCAATTATGTATCTACTATTGTAACATAGCCATTTTAGGCTTAAACTAAGTCACAAAAAGCAGAGAGGAGAAGGAAGTCCCAGCCACCTTTTATATTAATAGTATTTCAGGGACATAAACAGGGTGGAATAGCATTGTAATTTGGCATCTAAATCTACTTACACACCTAATGGGTGGAGTAGGATCCAGCCCTTTTAATTTCAGCTAGAGTTGGGCACTGTACTCTGAAAGTCCAACCATTCACTTCCATGGAAATGTTATCAATAATTTCAGAGTAGAAAGAGGCCACTGGTACTGCTGAACACCTCGGAAAATCCCACAGATAATGAACTGCTGCAGATTATAGCTTTGCGTTCTGAGTTTAAAAAAATCCTGCTGTTTGTTCTTTTTAGGACGCTTGCTCTTTTCAGCCAGAAATTTCCTAAGGCTGATTTTGACACCATGATGAAAATGACAACAGACATTGTGGAGATGCAAAAGGAATGTTGTCAAGGAGACATGCTGGATTGTATGCATAACAGGGTAAAAAAATAAAACTCAGCTGAAGATGTTATGATTGAAAAAGCAGATTTCCTGCCTGGCATTTTTCTCCCTTCTGATTTTTGTTGCCTTTTGCTCTCCCAATTGTGAATTTAATTAATCAATCAATCAATCAAGATACATGCAATCTAGGAGTTGGTGGGTTATTCTCATTTGACCCTGACCCTGTTTGAAATAAACAGGAAGCATAGGACAAACATAATCCTGTGGCTGAGGATGATCCAATTGATTCTGGAATTGGGAGAACTGAGTTTAGTTCCTGGGCATGTCACAGATGTCCCATGTAATCTTAGGCAAATCCTTTAGTCTGTCTCTGTGGTTGTTCCCTATCTTCTGCTAGCTCTTTGCATCCATTTTCCCCACTGTTTGGCCGTCTGTCTACTCTTCTGGCCAGGAACTGTCTCCTACTTCAGGTACGTGCAGATGTTATTCTTAGATCAACCTAACTAAGGTTAGGTCCATTTAAATGCTAACCTGTGCAGATGTTCCGGGGGTTTAAAATGGGCCACAAATGGCAGGCCCCATCTAATTTAGTTTACCTGAGTAAACCACCCCCTCCAGATCCTGCCAATCCCCCCCAGACCTGCTAACCCTCTCCCAGGGACCTGTTCATTCACCCCCCACCACTCCAATCCCACTCCAATCCCACCTGCACTGAGTTACTTATACCAGGGGCCCAGCATAGCTATGGTGAGCATCTGCACATGCTGCTCCTGGTCTACAATCATGCAGCTTAAAGAAAGCTGTGTGATCATAGACTGGGTGCCATGATACACACCCTTTGTCATAGAACAGGGGCAGGCAAAATGCGGCCCGTGGGCCAGATCTGGCCCTCCAGGCCATTCTATCTGGCCCACAGGGCCCCTAAAAAAATTTAGAAAATTAATATTTATTTGCTCCTGGCTGCCTGTCATGTGGCCCTTGATGGCTTGGCAAAACTCAGTAAGCAGCTCTTCTCCTGAAATAATTGCCCGCCGCTGTCATAGAGTCATAGAGAAGTAGGGCTGGAAGGGACTTCCAGAGGTCATCTAGTCCTGAGGCAGAACCATCCCCCTCCAAAACACGCCCAATAACCATAATCTTAATTCTACATAAGACTGCCCTCAAACCTGACACAACATAGACCTAACAAGCTAACCTGACACAGGTAAAGCCAGGGAACCAGGGCAGCTGATGTCCTGCTTCTGTAAAATGTTGTCAATATATGCTTGAGAGTCCTGGATAGAGCATCTAGATCAGTGGGATGCAGTGGGTAGAGCACTAAGTTCGAGACTTGGGTCTTGTCTCCAATTCTGCCATGAGCCTACTTTGTGGCTTCAAGCAAGTATATCACTTCCACATGTCAGTTTTCTCTAAAACATGGATAGTACTCTTGACCTTAAAATAATGCCCCCCATAAACAAAGCTTAATATATACAAATGAAATAGTAGGTAAGAGCTATTAACTGTATGTTGACAGAGCCCTGATTTTAGTAAGAGGTAGCTAGTTTCTACTGCATCAAAAACTAGAACAATGAGCTGATTCCTGTATTAGGGATCAAGAAAGAAGGAAATTCATTTAAAAATAACCATTTTTTTTCACTTTTTACAGGCAGAGTTTACATCATACGCATGTTCCCACCAAGACGCCATCTCAAGTAAAATTCAAAACTGCTGTGAAAAGCCTGTGCTTGAAAGAAGCAAATGTATATTTATGTCAGAAAATGATGACAAACCCACAGGCTTGTCACCTCAAGTCAGACAGTTTATAGAGGATCAAGATGTCTGCAAACACTTTGAAGAGAAAAAAGATATCTACTTGGCCGAGTAAGGCAACTGTTAACCTGTTCTTTTCCATCTCTGTCGCATAAGTGCTGTCACTGCAGGCCAAGTCCTCTAATATAGAGGCCTTAGCTGTTCTCCAAATGCTCAGCCTGTGTGTGCTGGGGGAAAGGAAATCAGTGACAGCTATGGTGGTCCCTCTGTCTTACCCATGGGGGGTTAGGGTGTTATGCCTTGTGATTGTGTCAGGGTTGACTGTGTAGTTCTACTAATAGATTAGACCAGTGATTCTCAACCAGGGTATCGGGGAGCTCTGGAGTACCATCTGATCCTTTGAACGGTGCCATGAGATATCAGTTGATAAGGAAGATGTGAGGACATAAGCACATACATCAGGGGTAGGCAACCCCCGCATGAGTGCCGGAGTGTGACATTGCAAAGGCATTTTGCTTGGCATGTGCACTTTGGGGTAGATGGAAGGGAAGAGGCCAAGGCTTTGTCTCTAGTGGGTTATGGAATAGAGAAAATCCCACACAATTTACTGATTCGTTTTGATGCACTGGCTGGGGGAGTAGTTAGCTGATTGCACGATTTCACAATGATTACACACTTAATTTATACAACACAATTTTATTTTAAAACTCTTTGCTACGCATATAACACTGCTTAGCTTTAAGAAACACCACAAACATTAAAAACACAATAATTGCATATATCAGAAACAATGCTCCGAATGCACTTCCTTCCCAAACAATGCTATAAGAATTAGTGTTACAAAAACAACTACAATTACAACTAAAAGTTAAATTTGAATCAATACTGTTATTTTTCATAATATACTTACAATCCTAGAATTCCGAGAAGCCAAATACCAAAATATGGTTTCATTCCTCAGTAGTACGATTTAATGGGTTGGCCTCAGTAGTACGGTTCAATAGGCTGGCCTCAGCAATACGATTCAATGAGCTGGGCTCAGCAGTGATAGGACTACGTCCCCTTCCTTCAGTCCCTTTCGGGCGCTCCGCGGCTTCAGCGTGAACTAAGAGATTCGTGTTCACGGAGAGGCTTGATTAGGCGATCAATCTAATCTGACCTTATACTTGCGATTCTTCCTTCGTTGTTCTGCAAGTGAAGTCACCTCCAAATTGGGACAGTAAGTTACAGGTTTTTATTGAGTGAGCTGCCGTCATTGGGCTCCTCCTACTCAACTTATCATAACTCCCAAATTTGGGCTCAGATCTTACTCAACAGAAATTACCTTTGTTGAGCATTTTTAAATTATTCTTGGGGAGACTTCCGTATCACTGTAAATACTCTTTTCTTAGCAATTTGGTTAAAAGGCCTTAGGCTTTGATGTCTCGGAATTTAGGATATTTACTTTCTTTGTAAAAAACTTCTAAAGGTACAATTTAGATTAAGGTTTTAGGCGAAGTCAGGACATTTCGCACGTAGCTCCAAAACAATGAGCTAGATAAGGAGATAGATCCTATCTTCTTCCTGAAACAGGCTAATGGGCAATCTTTACAAACATTCAAACTATTTCATTCAATATGACAGCTTCACAGCCACAACAAGGATCAGGTCCCTTGTGGATCCCCTGCTGTCCACCCCTGGCATACCAACATCTTACAAGTCAAAGTTGCAGGTGTTTTTGGCACTCTGCCCAAAAATGTGGTCAATCCCTGACATACACTACGTAGATAAAGGCAGTCTCAAACTTGTCCCTGCCTGAATCGCCCAACCCGAATGCAAGGAGGCCAGCACTGTAATATATATATATTCATTTTTTAAAACTGGCTGCCACTCAGCTTATAAAAGATATGGAGGTGTGTCTTGACTCAAGTCCAGTGAAGGGTACCTTGAGCCCAAAGTATTTGAGAACCAGTGGGTTAGACAATGGATTTGTATAGGATGGTTTAGATAAGGATGATCCTGCCTCTACCAGGATTTTGGACTAGATGGACTCTGGAAGTCCCATCCGGCCCTACTTTTATATGATAATGTCCGGTATAGATGTTAACTAGGCTTATTTTATACAGCAACATATTAAGAGTCTAATAATTCAGGTTTTGTGTTTTACAGATTTGCATTTTTTTTAATTCTTGGGCAGCTTTTCTGAATGTCTTAGTAAGCCATTTGTGTGACTGAAACAAAATAAGGCTGGCTGTTCTAGCATAGGTAAATGGGAAATAAAATGTTAGTTTTGGCTCTGAAAAACACTTTTTGGCATATTTAAAAGTTCATGAAGATACAAACATAAATATAAATGTTGAAATAATTCATATTATAGAAAAATGCTGGTTTTGCCTCCTATTTTTTGAGATAAGCAAAATCCCAAACCTCAGAAAGCACTGACTAAGAAGCAGTAGGATAGAAGCAAATGTAGAACACCTGATTCCATGAGGTTTTTACTAGTAGATCAGGGCCAAGGACAAAGCCAAAATCTCAAGATAATCTTATAGAAGTCCAGTGCCTTCTGTTCCAAGCCCCGGCCTAAAATTCAGCCATAAATGGGAACTCAAAGCCCTTGCCTAAATCAAAACCTTCTCTGTATCTGAATGCATTAGGTCCATATCTGCTTTAGTCAAGGACCTACAGTTTTAATCCTACTTCCAACAAGGGTGATGGCAAAAATTTTCACCAATCTCAGCTGAAACAGGATCAGATCACTTGTGTACAGCCAAGAAGTTATTTAGTTCAACATTATGTTTATTGCAGCCAGTATAAGCTGATTACCTCATAAAGCTGTGATGTTTTACACCCTCTAAGAAATGAGTCCGTTGTTGAAAAAAAATAATTGGCATTAAAGGTGATAACCTGGTACAAGGATAAAGCTAAGCTGTATGGGGCTTTTTAACAGCATTTTTACAGCTTGCTGAATATTTTTTTTTAAGAATTTTTTTTACGTGTTTTCATTTAATTGTTTTGGTAAAAAAATCTAAACATTTCTAAGGTTTCAAAAATCAAAATATTTTAATCACACAAAAAACTGAAAAAAATAATAATTTCTTAATGAATAAAATACATTTCCCAATTAGCTCTACTTATTAGCTGATTAACGTACCTACTTAGAATGCCAACCACCTTTCATAAGCAAGCCCAGTCGCTTCACATTTCAAACAATTCTAATATATTCTAATCTTTATTATTGATACTGAAAGGAAATACACGTAGAGTCAGTGGCCAGTTATGAATTACTTGTTAATCCCTTGTTTCCTTAGTAAAAATCGCACATTTTTCACTGTGGCCATCCCTGTAGCCCACTCACTGAAAAAAGCATATTCAAATATTGTTTGCCATAGTGATTAAAAGATTCCTGCGAAGAAAAATACCACATTGTTGTCTGCACCCTTCAATTAGTCTTTCTGAGATGGTCAGCCCCTAGGATCTGAGCTAGACTCACAGGGTGAAATTTTGGTGAATTCTCAGTGTTCCTCAGGAAGTTAAAATAGCATGTCTTGAAGTCTCTGCAGGCTTAATCACCTGTAAATCTTTGAATGCTGTCATTTTATTTTACTTCCTGCATCTCTAATGCTGACATATTTCATATATTACAGGTTTCTCTATGAATATTCCAGAAGACACACCGAGTTCTCCCTTCAAATGCTTTTAAGAATTGGTAAAGGATACCACGGTTTACTGGAAAAGTGCTGCAAAACCAGCTCTCCTCAAGAGTGCTATGGCACAGGGGTGCGTGCCCGTGTGGTCAGTCAAAGGCATGGGTGATGATGATGATCACCAACTAATGCAGTGTGATTCTGCTTGAGGTGTGAGTTGGGAGTAGTTCTACCCTCCAATCTGGGATTAGATGCCATTACTTTTTAGAGAGAGGATATCAGTTGAAATCTGACTTGATGGCCTCCAGTATGCTAATGAAGGAGTTTCATTCTTTTGTGTACTTGGTAGCCATGTTGGTCTGAGACAAGACAACATAAAAAACTAGAACTCTTGGTTCCAAAATAATAGCTTTTATTAGACCAGCTGGGAAATTGCAAGAAAAATGTCCTTTTCTTGTAATTTCCCAGTTGGTCTAATAAAAAGTATCATTTTGGAACCAAGAGTTCTGGTTTTTTGTATGTCTTCATTCTTTTGTTGCATTTACCAATGTGGGGTTACTGGGGAAATTAACTTCCTATATGAGAAATGGGAGAGGGGGCAGTGGTGCAGAGGATGCAACTAGCATTTGGAGAGACTGGAAGAGAGTGTATTCTAACTTCAGAGCTGGCTAACAGTTCAGAGGGGAGTTCTCCGGCTGCAAGGGACTCCTGCTCACTGGAGGCAAAGCAGATGCTCTCCTGGGAAACAGGAAGAAGAAATTTTTGCAAAATTAATTATATTAGAGGTGTAGAGGATGGGCCCTGGTTGCACTCAAAGGATTGAGGTTTCAGAAAGCTGAAGGAATTTTCAGTGTAGGCAGCAGAGATGTGATTAATATGTCAGTTATGGATAGCCAAAGCCACATTGTGATGTAACAGCATTACCTCCTCACATAATAACCCCCTGAATATTCTCCCTTTATTTCAGGAAGAAGAGCTGAGAAAACACATCCAGGAGTCCATAGCACTGTTAAATACCAACTGTGAACAATACAAGAAACTGGGAGATTATGCTTTCCAAAATGAGTATGCTTTTTAAAAACATTTCTTTACCAGATTTTAGTAACAATGGCCAGACCCCAGGTAGTGTAAATCAGTATCATTTCACTGACTTTGAGAGAGAGACTCATTTATACAAATTAAAGATTTGGCTGAATAAATTCAGTGTTAATGTTTGGGTTTTTCTGCTCTCTTTCATGAATTGTACCCTTTTTCTAACTCAGGAAGCATGGGAATAATAAGCATAGTGGAAAACTGCCCCATCTCCAGTTCACAGTACACATTATGTTCTCTGATAGAGGAATGTTTAACTTGCATTCTTTGGTGCATTTTAGGCTATGAGCTCCGACTTAAAAGTCACAGTATGGTACAAAGTATACCGCTTTGCCCTTTGTGGTAGACTCCTCTCTTTTTTTCTCTATGCATTTAACATGCCCTCTAGCAAGGCAAAGATAACAAAGATCTGACTGTGAAACAGAGGGCACCTATACACATGCTCGACATCTGCTCTGATACATGCTAATTAGATAAATGTCTGCTGGTGTATGCTAATTAATGCTCTCTAGCAACCTCCCTGTCACATGTATTTAGCATCTTTGCACTTCAAAGGGGCAGTGGGAACACTTGAACTAAAGCTCAAGTGTCCCCACCATTTTGAAGCACAGGACACTGAATACATGTGATGCTGTGGGTGTTTTAATTAGAGTGGCTCTCAGAGCCTCTCTAATTAATGTGACCCCCCACCCTGGAGCATGTGTATAGATGCTCAGAAAGACCAAAGCCCAGTAAACAGAGCTACATTTTTATCCTTTGTACTGGTCCCTCCTTATCAGGACTTAAGGTTGTTGGTTC